TTAATCCAAATTAGTGCCATTTTACAGTATACAAACTCTCAAATACTTATTCCTCCATTCCCATACTATTTAAAAGCGGTTTCCGTTTTCAAAAAATGTGATTATTTCCAACTCTTTTATTTTAAACTCAGGTATCTTTTAAACACAATAAGATAAAGATAAATATCTTGAATACTAACCCTTAAAGACAGACACCTCAATTACAGACTTCTTTCTAATTCCATTATGTCCCTAAGACATTAAGTCATGTAATGTTTTGGCTTGATTGATATATTTCCTTTCTTCATTTTCCATTAATGTAGGAAGATCAGTATCTAGGCTTTTGAAAAATGTGTTTCAAGATCTATTTCATTTGGGAAGATCATATGATAAACAGGAAGTATAATCAGTTTACCATATTGAAATACTTTTGTTTTTGTAATGAACTTTTTAATAAGTTCATTCCATTGTTTTCCATCCATCATGCCTTAAGGAATATGTTCTGTTTGATTTATGATGTACAAGTTCATTATTTTACTAAGTTATAATCAATATATTCAAGGTGCTCTGGTTAATTAAGAAACATTTTATTATTTGTCTTTGCATTTAAGAATTCTCAACTCTTGTTTTTTTCTTTTGTTTTTTGGGGGAAGTTTTGTTGTGCATTTCTAGAGACTGAGACCAGTACTTTTGGGTTTTAACTCTCTTTTGATGCTAATCCTTTTCTGTTCTATTTGACTCCAGGTTCTACTCTAAGCCTTAAAAAATCTCCTTAACTAGCCGTTCCCTCCTTAACTATCCTTTCTATCTGTGACTACCCTTTATGGGGCTCACCATAGGAATTAATCAAACATTTACTGGCTCAATTTGGTCATCAGAGAAAAAAATCTTAGAGGGACCCATATCATACCATCTGGAGCAGTTGAGTAAAGAACATACAAACATACACATTGAACGCATATTTATATATGCATACTTCAGTTCAATTCAGTCACTCAGTCGTGTCTGACCCTTTGTGACCCCATGAATCACAGCACACCAGGCCTCCCTGTCCATCACCAACTCCCGGAGTTCACTCAAACTNACACAGCCTTGATGTACTCCTTTTCCTGTTTGGAACCAGTCTGTTGTTCCATGTCCAGTTCTAACCGTCGCTTCCTGACCTGCATATAGGTTTCTCAAGAGGCAGGTCAGGTGCTCCGGTATTCCCATCGCTTTCAGAATTACATACGCATTAAAAATTTTAAAACCCCACAAATCAACTTGTTTAGGGCATTCACAACATGTTTTATTTTTAAAGTCAGTTTTGGGGAATTTTCTGATGGCTCAGTGGTTAGGAATTGGTGTTTTCACTGCCATGGTCCAAGTTCAACTCCTGGGCAGGGGAACGAAGATTCAGCAAGCTGTGTGTTGTGACCAAGAACAAAAAGAAAGGTCGACATTCTTTATATCATACCTGGCATAATTTATGATTCATCCATGAAATTAGGAAAAACTATAAAAAAATTTAGAGCACAACACTCTGTGGCAAAGGGTAGAAAGAACAGAACAGCTGAGTAATTCTTTCCTTTCAAATCATGTATTCAAGCACTGTTTGAGTTGCAAGATTGGAGTTACAGTCAATTGAATGTATAAGAGTAATTTAAAAAATTGAATTATAAAAGTATCTGTAAAATATCTANCTTTCAAATCATGTATTCAAGCACTGTTTGAGTTGCAAGATTGGAGTTACAGTCAATTGAATGTATAAGAGTAATTTAAAAAATTGAATTATAAAAGTATCCATAAAATATCTAGATGTGATATTGTTATTTTTAAGATCAGTATTTACTCAACATCATCCTCCTTTACCACTCAGGAAATGAATGGTGACTGATTAATATTTTGATTATTTCAACATCTTTATGTCCCTAGTGGCTCAGCTGGTAAAGAATCCACCTGCAATGGGGGAGACCTGGGTTCAGTCCCTGGTTTGGGAAGATCCCCTGGAGAAGGGAATGGCTACCTAGTCCAGTATTCTGGCCTGGAGAATTACATGGATTGTATAGTTCATGGGGTCACAGAGAGTTGGACACAACTGAGCAACTTTTACTTTCACATCTTTATGTCATCTTCAGGCCTAAACTCTTCTACATGGAAAGATTATTTATGTTAAAGATATTATAGAAGCATCACAATATATATTGGTGAAGAATGTAATGTGCATTCTATATACAGTAATGTGGCATTCTGTATTAGGCAATTACATTATAGTCTCTATGGATGCTTGAAATGACCAGCTGGTTCTACTTTCTGGAGCAAGGAAATGGTCCGTATAATAACAGTGTGTAAAATACCTCCCCAGATGAATAAATTATTTATATTGCAGGGAAAGGTTTTACTGGTCATCTGGGCCATGAAGATGAAGAAGAAGCTACCACAGTCAATGGAGGTGGGGTGGAAAAAGGTTCAAGAAGGAGTGGATATATTTATGCATATTGCTGATTCACTTTGTTGTAACACGAGAAACTAACACAACATTGTAAAGCAATTATATTCCAATAAAAAATACTATCTTAGCTTTAGTTAGTGATGTTATCTCAACACAATTTCATTATTCTTTATAGCCCCAAATGAATGGTTTGCCCACTCAAACCAGTTTGTCCACTCTGATTCTGCTATGATCATTTCTGTACAAGCCAGACTATAGGAAGATGTGAAACCAGCAGAAGCCTGGGTGCAAGACCATTCAGAAAACAGAGAAAAATAAAATTAAGGATCAGCCAAAGGGCTTTATCTTACAGAACCTATATGGCCAATTTTTCTTCCATGGATTTTAAAAAAAGCTTACTGAGGTATAATTTACAAACCCTAACATTTGCTCATTTTAAGTGTATGATTCAATCATTTTAAGAAAATTTATAGCTGTGTGATGATCACAACAATCTAATTTTTGAACATTATTATCACTCTCCAAAAAATGCCTATTTGCGGTCACTCCTTATTTCCGTCCCCACCTTTCAGCAACTGTTAACCTATTTTGTCTCTACAGATTTGTCTTTTCTGAATATTTCGCATAAATTGAATCATATAATATGTGGTTTTCTGTAATTGTCTCTTTTTACTCAGCATGATATTTTTTGGTTCACCTCCATTGTAACACTTAATAATATGCACTTCATTTTTATAGTATTCCATTGTATGAATATGGCATATTTCATTTATCCACTCACTGGTTGTTTTTATTTCTTGGCTATTATGAGTACTTGTGTGCAAGCCATTATGTGGATGTATTTTTTCAGTTTTCTTGGTTAAATACCTGGAAATGACTATGCTGTGTCATATGTTAAATTATATTTAATATTTTAAGAAAGTTATAAACTGTTTTGCAAAGAAGTTGCATCATTTTATCTTCTCACCAGTAATGGATGAAGGTTTGCTTCTCTACATCCTTGTCAACCCTTGTTATTGTCTTTTTTCTTTGTGTTTTTTTGATTATCAATATTCTTGTGTGTCTCATGGTATCTCAAAGAATTTAATGGACAGTCAGTCTCATCCATGCATCATTCAGTCATTCATCAGATAGTTGCTGAATATTTACTATGTACCAGCCAAGCGTACAAAGAATAGAACACCACCTCTAAAACTGAGGAATTCATAGACTACTAGAAATATAAAGCTACTAGATATGTTTCATAGTCTAATCTACTCATAAAGCTTTCTAGGTAACATATATCCCTCCTTGCCTGCAGGTTGGACTAGAGGTGAACATCTGACCTGAAGATCGCCACTCCATTGGCTGGCCACCTATCTATGACTTCTAAGGCATCACTAAAAAAGTCAGATGATTTGGGCTGCTCACATACCCTCTCAGAGAGGTTGTCATAGAAGATGAGCACTAGAGTCGCCAAATAATCTGGAATCTGAGGATATCACTGCTGGATATTGCCTCAGATGACTAGACAGAGGAAGCCAAGTGAGAGAAAGGTGAAGGCGCTGACTCTGAGATGAAGAAATGAGAAAACTCTTGTCGAGAAATCTTGGTTTTTCTGTTCTTCATGTTCTGATCTGCATACAGTTTAACTAAGCTTTGTTTCCTCTTCTTGGATTCTGTGAGATTTCTGCAGCATTAGAGTAAAGCTCCACCTCCCATTTTCACTTGAACTATTTACTCAAAGTTTTCTGCTGCTTATAAATGAAGAACTAGAAGGCAACAGCTGAATTGCTAACTCATGATCCCTCTGTGAACATTCTCACTCTTAGAGACTTGTAATCAGGCCTTTCCAATTACCATGACTTATCACTTGTTTTCTTTCCATGGACACACATGTTTAATTATGCATATTAGTAAATGTAAACAGTAAAATGTACAAAGCAAATCACTAGACCACCTCCTCCCCTTCCCCCTCTCAAATTTCATAGCTCACTTTGTGGAGACTAAAAAAATAAATACTCATATCCTTTGAATACCTCACAATTACTCATTTTTACAAATAGCTGTAGACTGCCTACCTACTCCAGACACTGTCCATGGCATTTGCAAAGATGAAATGAACAGAAGGGTCCTGACCTTGGTGAACATTCCCAGGGGGTATAGCCTCGAGTGACACCGTAAAAATAAGCAAAAATAATTTACCTAAAGCAACAGAACAAAGGAGGTTAAATTAAAGCAATAAAATCCAGAGTGGAGGCTCTGGAGAAAACTTCCAAAGCAGAAAAAAACAGCTCCTCCAAGATTTTAGAGTGATTGGAAAGATGGTGGGTGGCGGGGCTGTAGTCCTAGTCCCTAAATCTATCTGACTCCCCAGAAATTGACAGGAGTCCGCAAAAGCTGAGGCCTCTCATAGACTCCGTTACCCAGACATGCAGATACACCAGCGAGTTTCCTTGCTTTTCCTGCACTCCTGACCAAAGCACTTTGAAAAGGACGCTGGGAAAGCAGGTGAACTTGATGTGCTTAGCTACGTTATCTCCTGCAGAAGTGAAAGTCCCATGACCGGAAGTGAGGAAACAGCTGCCGTTTCCCGGGCGGTGCTTCTGTGATGAACACCTTGATGTGAACTGCGCAATTTAGACACATTCAAGAGGAAACCAAAACTAAGGGATTCTAGGGTAGCTCTACGCCACCTTCAAGAGCGTCCAGCAGGAGAATGGGGAGGCCTGGACAGTCCCCACCTGGCACCCTCTGGACAGAGCTTTGAAGGAAAGGCTTGAAAGCTACAAGGTATGTGTGGGGGAGGGTGGGGAAGGGCTAAAACCATTTCTGAGGCTCTGAAATTGGCATGGTTTTCATCAAGAGAAACTTTAATGCAGAGAACTGTGTCAATTTAAGCAGAAGCCTACCTGCCAAGTCAGACTATGCCCATCCCTCGGCCCACCACGACATTGTTCTGGGTCTGCCATGCCTCTGTTGGGGAGAAAATAGGAAGAGGAGTAAGTTAACAGCAGAACTAACATCCACTTCCAGCTGGGTGACCTACTTTGTGAAATAGGGCACGTGAACGCAATCATGATCTTTAAGATTTCTTAAGCTCTGAAAAAATTATACAGTGCCTTGATTCTGCCTGCAGCCCCGTTGAAGATCACATGTGCTTGCTAGTAAATTTCTGCTGCTAGAAAGGAAGTTCTGAAGTCACTTTAGCACTAACTTCAGAACCTGTTCCCTCGCAACTTAAGGACTGAAAATTTGAACTTCTGAATTTGCTGACCTGTTTGAAATGAGGTGGGAGGAAAAGTATTTTAGTAAAAGATACTGCTTAATCTTTGGTGTGTTCCTCAACCACAAATGAATGGAATTGCAGTCGTTGGGCAGTTTAGTGAGATTCTTTATAGCAAACTTGGCTCCTACCGGCGGACTATCACTCTAAAAACACTCTGGGAGCAATTACACACTCAGTAACACCTTATTAAGTAGCAATTTTATCTAACCTTACCGTTTCTTTCTGAGTGTGAGAATGAAGGGAGAAATGAAGTAAAATATGTTGCGAGGTTCCATATGCTCTCCCCTTGGACGGTATGGAGAGCGTTAGGGTGGCATAATACATGCGTCAGTGCCATGCAGAAGTTGAGGGAGGGGTAATTTTGGTTAATACTTCCCACTCTCCACCACCCACACTTCAAGTCAGTCCCAATTCCCAATGCTGACAGAGAAATGGGGAGGTGTGAGAGGGACATAGCGACTTGCTGGCACCATCCCCATTTCAAGCGGCAAATGTGCATGTAGCACTAATCCTGTTTTCGAGTTGGGGGTCTTAACCTGAGTCTAGAAACAACTGAGAAACAGCATGAGATAGTCTCTTGAGGGGATAGTGATCAGCTGTTTCTTTATTCTCATTTCATCTTAATTCTTGCTGGTAAGATTTTTAAAATTTCCTAAACAGACCTAAATTAATTTATGACAAACTACACCAATGTAATTGGTGCTGAAACAAATGCATACAGATAAGTAGGGAGATAAAATGAATCTGCAAGTAGAAGACCCCAAGATAATGCATTTAAAATGTTTTTACTGACATCTTTCCTGCATAATGATTCCAAAGTACCTAGTAACAGATTTGCTTTCCTTTTTATCCTCCTTCCTTCTGCTTTCTCTATTTCCCCAGGCCAGTGAAGAAAATGAAAAAAATATAAATAATGAATATACTTGGATCCCTCCACCTTCTCCTTCTTCATTCTGGAATCTTGGTTACCATCCCTCTGCCCTTAGTTCTGAAAGATTTGTTGCCAATAATCATGTGACCTAGTGAATTTTACTACTACTTTTTTTTCTTGATGATTGAGGGTAAAGTCTTGATGGGGACAAAACTAAATTATAGTTTTTCAAAGATTACTTATTTTAGGAGTTGTCTAGCTTAAGAGACAGTACTGTGTTGTGGATCCAGACTGTGTGTCCCTAGCTGCCCCAGTGTTATACCATTTTACTGGGCCCATTTCTTAATCTTCTGCCACTATTTTCACCCATTCAAAACAGGGATGGTAATAGTATCTACTTCCTAGGATTATGTGGAGGTGAAAGAGATTATGTGGAGGTGAAAGAGATTATGTGGAGGGAACATAAAACCATGCCTGGCATGTAATAGGTCCTCACTGAAAATTAACTATAGAATTCATTTAGGGAACCAACATTTCTTGAGTACCAACTGGTATGAGGAATTCTTACAGGTATCTTTAAAGGAACAGGCCCAGAATGTGCTATCAAGGAAAAATTTTACACTAAACAATATTTTGGTAGTGTTTTTTCATGTTGTATAACATAATTTTCAAAACAGGCTGCATACTATTCTGTAATTTTGCTAATCTGTTGGACAATTAGATTGTTGAATGTTCCCCTTTTAAGGTGTGACTGTAGCTATGTAAACATTTGATCAAATTGATCATTCTTCAGTTACTTAAATGTTTGCATTATATTCTTTTAAAAATGTTTTTGGCCATGTTGCCTGAAATGTTTTGATGCATGTTGCCAAATTAATATAGGTTCCCTAATTTGATTTTTTGGTGAATGTGTACTATACCAGAATGCCATCCATAATATCTTCCCTTTTTGCATAGTACCTTCTTTTTTTCTTAGACTGACTTTCTTACTTGGTCTTCTGGCCTCTTTTTTTTTACCTTTTGCTGGAGGATAGGTAGAGTGGTGCTTAGTCACACAGTCATGTCCAACTCTTTGTGACCCCATGGACTGTAACCCTCCAGACACCTCTGTCCATGGAGATTCTCCAGGCAAGAATACTGGAGTGGGTTGCCATTTCCTTCTCCAAGTAGAGAAGTAGGGTAGAGTGGGATAGGCAGTTAATCTGGGCTGACTGGAAACAAAATAAGTCGATTGGCACCTCCCCTGATCTGACTCCCATCTAATCCACACAGGTGTTGTCAAAGGTCCCATCTTGCTCCAGGCTCTGAGATCATTCTGTATCCCTTGCTGGGAGAAACACCGTAACTAGATCTTCATAACTCAGTGTCAGGTCACACTTCCTCAAGCTTCACTTGCTTATTTTTGTGTAACCTTGTCATGGGTTTGGGTAGTGGATTCTCTGCGTTTGCCTCCTGTGTGTGAGGCCAACCTGCTTCAGTGGTGGTTTTGTCTTGTCCCCAAAGCTTTGTAAAGCCTCTTCCTCTACCATTTTCTTGGCCAATTATCTAGATACTACTTCTGCTGTTGGGTGTATTCTAACTACCTCTTTTGCACTGTGGAATCAGACTTGTCATCAAGTCCCAGTCAGCCCAAATCTGACATGAAAGGAGAAAAAATAAAAGCAGCCACGTCACTTCTTACTTCCTTGTTCTGATCATCTATTACTGAGTGTAACCAATCACCCTGAAAGTTAGTGGCTTAAAACAACAACAGCTGTTTCTTTATTTGTCATGGTTTCTCTGGGTCAGTGATTTGGGAAAGGCCCAGCTAGGCAGTTTGGCTTAGAGTGTTTCATGCAGTTGCAGTCAGAGGTGGCTGGGACTGGAGCGTCTGAGGGCCAGCTAGACATTTCTTTGTCAGGGTTTCTCGATGCAGTCTATGGATCGAGAAGACTGGGCCTCCTCATAGCATGGCACCTTCAAGGCTCTGGGAGTTCTCCCACAGTAGCTCAGGGCTCTAGCAAGAGTGTTCTGGTGAAAAGGGCAGACATGGAATTTTATGACTGAATCTTCCAAGTAGTATTGTGTCTGCCATTTGCTACTGGTTGAAACAGTCACAAAAGCCCACTCATATTCAAGGAGAGAATTAGATTCTGTCTCCTGATGAGGAGTGTGGCCATCTTTGGAAAATGTGATTGATCACATCCCTCTACCACAGCACAGTACACTGAGCTCTTTGGAGAACTGGGTAGACACTGTCCTCTCACCCAGTTAAGGAATTCCTCTGCATCTGTTGAACCAGGTCATATCTCCCTCCATTCTCCAGAAGGCCTTTCTCAACTCTCTACAGTGCTGTCTTTGCTTCTGAGCTGTGAAATAACAGAGATTGGAATACTGCCTTATATTTTACAAATCACAGTGCCAAATATTCCACTTTGTATCTTTATTCATGTTGTACTGGTCTGTGTGTTTCCCTACCTAGGAACAGGAATCCTGCATTATGAATCTTGGTGTTACCTCCCACCCCTACCACCACCGTAGTATTGAGATCCACATTAGCTTTACATGGACAACTGCTGAATGAAGAAATGAATGAATGCATGAGAATTAAAAAAAAAAAAGGCATAAGCATGCGCTGAAAAACATAATTCACTAAGAAAACTCGGCTTAAAAATGCCTTCCTTTAAAATTGTATTTGGCTCAAGATATCTTTTTTTGGTGGGCAGTCGTATGGTAACAAAGTTCTAAGTCCTGCTATTTACCCTGGGCATCCCTTGGACTTTGCTGCCTTCTAAGCTTAGCAGACCAGTTAAAGCAGAGTTTATTGTAAAAGAGAGTGTAAATTAAGGGGCTGGGATACATCATTAGACATATGGTCTCCTAGGAGTTTAGATCTTCCTGTAGTAGGTGGAATTTGTAACATTCTGGCCTCTAGGACCATATGGTTGTATTTAGAGATGCCAACAGAAATAAATACTTGACTTCCAATGCAAGATTCTTTTTCTGCTGGCCCTCCCAAACAGCCATATAAGTTTCCTGTGCAAAATTTAAAAGGACAGAATTAACATTTACTTCTCATCATTTTACTGATTTGTTTGTGATCATTTAACACAGGGTATGAAATGGGTTCATCAAGGGCCAGTCCTGCGGAGGGTCAGTGGCCCTGGACCATCCCTGAGGTGAGCAAAGATATGTACCTGGTCTGTACCATATGACTCTGTGCTCTTAGCTGTAGCTGACTAGACTGGGTTCATTCCACATGTCAGACAACAGCTTGGGCCAGTGCCTTAAGAAATGGCTTGGTTTTATAAGATCTGCTCTAAATAGAAATGAAACAAAGGAACTCTTTGTTGCTAGAAAGGAACTCTTCTAGCAACAAACAACTGGAAATTAAAATTACAAAAACAAAGCTATTTATACTGCATTGGAAAAATGAAGTACTTACGGGGTAAATTTGACAAAAGATGTTACAGATCTGTATACTGAAAACTATGGAACATTGCTGAGAGAAACTACAGGTGGTAACACAAAATGAAGAGAGAATCCATTGCATGAATTGAAAGATTCATTATTAAACTACTGATTCTCCCCAAATTAAACTATAGTCTTTGTAATTCCATTTGAAATTCCAGCAGATTGTTTTAAGAGCCAAAAGAAATTAAAAAAAAAAGAATTAAACTAACATACCTGATTGTAAGATTTACTGTAAAGCTATAATAATCAAGACAGTATGGTATTGAAGCCAAGGTAGATAAGTAGATTAATGAAGTAGATACAGACTCCAGAAATTGACCCAAGCATATCTGATTAGTAGACTTTCTGACAAAGGCCCCTCAAAAGGCAGTTCAATGGAGAAAGAACAGTTTTTCCAACAAATTGTTGCAGAGCAATTGTATATCCATGTGCCACAAAATAAACCTCAATCCATACCTTATACTATATACAAAAATTGACTGAAAATGATCCATAGACCTAAATGTAAAACCAAAAAGTGTAAAATTTCTTTGAGAAAAAAAGAGTACCTTGTGACCTTGAGTTCAGTGTATGTTTTAGATATAACATCAAAAGCATGAACCATAATAAAATAAATTGGACTTCATCAAATTATGATTTTCTTCTATTGTAAAGGAATGAGAAAGTAAACCACAGAGTGGGAGAGAATATTAACAAATCACATATGTGGGAAATAATTTATATCCAAAATATCTACAGAATTCTCAAAGCACAATAAGAAAACAAATAACCTAATAAAGTGGGCAAAAGATTTGAATGTGTACTTCAGCAATGAAGATGTACAGATGGCAATTAAGCACATGAAAAGATACTCAACATTATTACTCACTAGAGAATGCAAATTAAAACCACAAGTAAGTAGCATCACACTGATTAGAATGGCTAAAGTTAAAAAACGATTGACATAACAAATGTTGGTGGGGGTGTGGAACAACTAGAACTCCCATACATTGGGTGGGAATGTAAAATGGTACAACTATTTTGGAAAAGAGTTCAGCAGCAGTTTCTTAACAGTTTAAATAAGCACTTCCTATGAGACCCAGCTGTTCCAATCCCAGGTATTTACTAAATCACAACGAAAATGTGTGTTTATACAGAGATTGTACACAAATATTCATAGAAATCTTATTCATTACTAGTCAGATACCTAAAAGCAATCCAAATAGCCATCAATAGGTAAATGGATGAACAAACTGTGGTATGTCCCTGTAGTAGAATACTGTCAGGCCACAGGGAAAAAGGAATGGAATATTGCTATAGGCAATGTCATGGATGAATCTCAAAGTAAGTATGCTGAGTAAAAGAAACCAAATGAGTACACACTGCATGATTCTTTTTATAAGAAAGTTTAGAAACTACAAGCTATACTGTCTGTGAGCAATTGCATGGGCGTGGCTAGAGGAAGTAGAGAGAGGCAAAGAGGATTAGGAAAAGATTTAGGAAATTTGGGGAATAACAGATATGTTCACTCTTTTAATTGTGATGATAAATTCACAGATGTGTGTATATGTAAACATTCAGCAAACTGAATTTTAAATATGTCAGTTATAACTCAAAGAAGTGAAGGAAGGAAGGAAGAGGAGGAGAGTGAGAGGGAGGAGGAGGGGAAGAAAGGAAGGAAATGAGGAAAGAAAAGGGGGGAAAGAAGAGGGGAAAGAGTGCGTTAATGTGAGAGCAAGCAAACCAAGAGAAACAGATTGACCAAGAAAGGCTGGGTTTTGCCAACAGCAGAACTCTAGGGGATGCTGAGGAAACCACAGGATAACCAGATGACTAAGGTGTCTTAGGTCGCAGAGGAGTCTGGTTCAGTCCTCATGAGGAGCGACAGTCAGTTCCACTGTTCTTGATGAGATTCTATTATTATTATTTCTCCTCTCCTCTCCTTAATTAAGCTGTATCTTTCCCTTTTTTGCTTGTCTCACAGTTTCCAGACTGGGATATCTGTGAATCTTCACTTCGAGTTTGTAGATCACCCTATAAACATGGGAGAGGGAGGAGGAGGGGGCCAGAGACTACCTTGCATTCCTCTGGAAGAATGTTCATACTTGAAAGCTGGTGCTTCTCCGACTGGCTATTGTGCAAGACAGTAGCATCACTTTGGAAACTACTGGAGGGTGGGGACTGTATTTGTCTTTGTGTTTAGCACAGTGATGAGCTAGATAAGTGCTCCATACATGCTTATTAAATATATATTTGAAATTAGAAGAGAAATTGCCTCATGTTCGGTCACAGGGGAAGCTTCCATTCTGACTTTATAATGCTCAAAGAGAATTTCCATATAAACCATTCAGAACTATCTGATTTCCAGGTTCTCTCACTCATTTCACAAACATTGATATTTATTGAGTACCTGCTATATTCTGGGGTCATTCCTTTCAAGGTAAGCTATGAACAAGTAGGCCTAAGCTCTGCCTTTATGGAGTTTAGTTGGGGAGACAGAAAATAATTGAGGCAAATAAGTAAAGCTTGTAGTGTATTAGATAAGTGCTTAGGAAAAATAAGTGTAGGAAGGGGTTTAGGGAGCACCACGGTATGGTGAAGGTTATAATTTTATAAAGGATGAGCAGGAGAGGCTTATAGAGAATTCAGAGGCCATACTTCCAATTGGAATGGGTTATACTACAAAGGGAATTTATTAGTTCACATAAATATAATGAGTCCATCCCTAAGCACAGCTGGATGTGGTGTCTGAAGTGAAGATTTCTGAAATCTGTTTCATATCTTGACTTTGCTTTCTTCTCTTTGGTTTCAACATTGAGCTGGTAGTCTCCCAGTAACAAGATGGCTACTAGATTTAGAATCTCTTGACTCAGAGGTCCTAGGGAAAAGACATGTCTTTTCCAGTGGTTCCAACACGTCTTGATATTGAGTCTTATTGGTCTGGCTAGGATCACATGAAACTGTTAGTATGCTATTTATCTGGGCTCAGCAAAGTATGTGCTCTGGGGTGGAACTTGGAAAGTGAGGTCTGATGATGCAAACGCCAAATACTGAATCGTTAAGGTAGGGGGTTTCCACCAGGAAACACAGGAGGGCATTACAACAAAGGAACACCGTTCCCGCCCTTACTCGAGGAGGAGAGTCTGAGTGCTGAGGCTCACCGAGCATCAAACGGCGATAGGTCAGCACTGCATGGGGTGCTTGGGTTCCCTGCAAACCATTTCCCTGCTGGGCATTCGCCTAAGAGTATCTATGGATGACCCTTCCTTATGTATGGACCGACCATTCCAAGAATGCTTACTCCTTAGGACCTCAGATTCCAAGGTGATATTGTTAAATTGAGAACTGAAATATGCCTGAAGAAAGGGAGATGGATTATATTGTAGAGGCTCGATGTCAGGAGTAGAGTGTTTACAATGGATTCCCTAGTGAATCCACTCCAGGATGATTCCAGGTTGTAAAGTGACTGTTGTATAGGTGAGGATGCTAGATGAGTAGGCTGGAGTCCCATAATCCTTCAAGATTTCTGTTCCTGAGAGGCAGGAGAATACAGCAGTTAAGGACATAGTTCAGAGTCAGAGAGATACGGGTTATAAATCCAGTTCTACCACTTCTACTGAATAAGTTGGTTTATCTATGTTAGGCCTTTGTTTTCTCATTTATAACATGGGATATGCCTAAGATCTGTATCATAGGATTCTTCAGTTAATACATATAAAGTCTTAGTTCTTATTGTCATGATCATTACCACTTGTGGCCCAACAGGTAAGTCAGGGATTGTCCACGTGGTATAATTTGGAGACAATAGAAAGCATGTACTCAAAACATCTTCCCTATACCCCTCCCTTGGTTTCTGAGGTGCCCATGCTCTTTCATACCTTTGGTTTAAGGAAGAGTTTGTATTCTGGAGGTTTTAAACGTTCCAACAGTTGTGCTTTAAGGACCACTAGGGAAGGGAAGGGGTGAGGGGATCAGATAACCCTAGGCCTTCTCACCTACTACCTCTAGCAGAGAAGTTTTATCTGTTTTACACACTGACTTCTACATGAGGGGCTTGCCTAGAGAGTTCCATGGACAGAGGAGCCTGGCAGGCTACAGTCCATGGGGTTGCAAGGAGTTGGACATGACTGAGCAACTTTCACTTCTACCTGAGAATTTTTTTGATGAGGAGTTCTGTGGCTGAGAAGAAAGTTTAGAAATGACTGCATCAAAGCATCAGTGGCCCCTGTTAAAACATCATTATATCATCTGGAGAGGGATTGGGGGTGTTTTGTTTGAAGAAGAAAAACCACAGGTTGGAATGATGCTGACTGTTTTCTTGAATCTGAAGGGTCACCATGTGGGGTCCAGAGAATCAACATGAGGCTAATTTCACTTTGGTAGGTAAAAGGAGGATGATCTTTCCAACAATTCAAGCTGTTCTTCCAGTAATTCATTTTTAGGATAGAGGTACACTGCTCTCCTTGGAGACATTTTAGCAAAGGCTTTAAGCTGTCAGGAATAATACTGAGGGGGTTCCCTCAAGAGTAGAATAATGGACTGGGACTGCCAAGATTTAGTTTAAACTGTAAAAGTCTGTCATTCTGAGTAACACAGAAAGCTATTAAGGTGTTACACCTCCATCTACTTCTTGGTGAAATTTTATCACCTATGTTAGATTCTTAGAGTATGACTTTAAAAGAATGTACCATAGCCAGTTGAATTTTGAACTTATTTTAGACTTAGA